AATGCAGGTTTGAATGCAAATCAGGACAAGCTTGCAACTTACCAGAATGTTTTTTCAGTGCTCAGGTTCAATACAATTTACCCGCGTAATGACCTGAATCACAAACAATTTAATGCCTACCATGTTTTAACAATGAGGAAAACTCAATGTAAGCACATATTTGTTTTACAAGGAAACTCCAGGTTTAATCTTTATATTACAGTAAATGCACAACATCTAAATTCTTTTAAGCGAGAGGAATCTGTTCAAGAAATTTTTGATATATGATGATTTTAGGTAGAAACTAATTTGCATGTACTTTTCTTACATCTGAGCTGGCCTTGTGCAAACCTTTGGATTTGAATGATACCTTAAAGGAGCTTTGAATGTAAACACACACAGAAAAAAACCTCATCCAATCAAACAAACATTTAAAAAACAAGAAAAAAAACCCCTCCACACTCATTTTCAGTCATTTTAATAATGTTTTTTCCCCTCAGGCTCATTGATTGATATATTTATAAAAAAAGTGAATATTTCCATCACACTTTTGTATCATCTCATAAATCTAAGTCACAGATTGAAGAGCAGAGACATCATAATAGTGCTGTTTGTGTTCAGTAAGAAATCAGGTAAGTCGTCAACTCACAAAAACAGACTCGAATTGAAAAAAAGAAAAATACATTTTTTTCAGTTCTTGTTCTGTATTTCGTTCTGTTGCAGCAATGCAGAATGACATGTTGAAAAGTTAAATATAACATACAGCAGCGTCTTTTTTCCTCTTCTTCAAAGGTCACAATTCATAAACAAATTTAATATGAGCTAGACCTGCTAGAAAACGCAAGACAAAAAAAGTCAAATCTGTTTTGGGTTGTTAAACAGCTGTTAGAACTACTTTGCTATTCAGGTTTTATTTATGCATATTACTTCATTTTTTTTTAATATGATTAAAAAAAAAACGTTTATTAAAGCTTCCAAAACGTTATTTCCCCTCAATCAAATCTCATGTTGGATCTTTTTTGGATGCGTTTGTGGTCCTTCTGCTTTAAGGTAAGATTTTCCCCCAAAAAAATCAAAAATTGATTTTTGGACATCAAATATTTAAATATTACTTAAATATTTAATAAGCTTTATTACTAATAATAAAATCAACCCAACAATCTTCCCCATGGTACACAACTGTCGACAACTAGTATCTGAGAGTTGATCTGAATATGGCTCAATAAATAAATATGAGCTACTTTATGTCATGTGAAGGGTGTTGCAGGTAGAAGTGGTGGTAAGGAGGACCCACAGTGCAGACACTTGGAGGCAAAATGTAAACTCAAAATGTAAACCAGCTTTAAAGCTGAACTCAAAAGTTACAAAAATAAAAATTACAAAATAAACTCACGCTGGCAGACAGCACACACAGTAAGATGAGGGTAGATCACGACATGGACAGATGAAAACACAGGGCTTAAATACGCAGAGGGAGCAGTCAGGGAACGAGAGACAGGAGGGAATACAGCTGGGGCAAATCAGGGCTGACGAGACAAAGGAAGCAAAACCAGACACATTAACATGAGATGCGGCTTTTCAAAGTAAAACAGGAAAACACAGAGACACAGACTTGAGAAGGGGATACAGCAGACAGGGGAGACAGAGCAACTAAGGAACACAGACAGAAACCAGAAATCACAAAGAAACCAAAAGACAAGAAATGATAAATAATATCAAAATCACAGTTCAATAATAAAGTAAACTTAAAACTGGGTCGATGACCCAGGTCTCCTAACACTTGAAGCCTATCGCTTATTCACACAGGGTTACCACATTTGATTTGTTGGGTTTTTAAAGGATGCTCTTCCTGATATTAAGAGGGGATTTGTG